GTCCGCTGCCTCCCATACATGTTGATCAGGGATCAAACCCACAACCTAGGTCTGTGCCCTAACCAGGAATAGAATTGGTGACATTTGGTGCATGGAGATGCTCCAGTTGAGCCACACCATCAGTCAGGGCACATATGACTTTTGTGAAAAATGGAGGGTATTGTGAAACCAAGCAACAAGATAGTGTGATACAACCCTGACATGTCTGAGAACCACTGATGTGAGCCCAGTTCAAACAAGAATTTGTCTACCTTGGCATTAATGACACTTTGGCCACAGAATTATCTTTTCTTTCTTTCTTGTCTTTTCTTTCTTTCTTTCTTTCTTTCTTTCTTTTTTTTTTTTTTTAAGAATAATTACTTTTTCAATTAAAAAAATTTTTTTTTCAATTGCAGTTGACATTCAATATGGGACCACATAATTTTTTGAGGTAGGGGCTATCCTGCACTTCGTGGGATGTTTAGCAGCATCCCTGGTCTGATGCTAGTAGCATCATTCTCTGCTGAGTTGTGACTATGGCAAAGGTGCCTTGACAGGCCTCAGCTGAGAACCAAGGAAACTACAGTGTGTGTGTGTGTGTGTGTGTGTGTGTGTGTGTGTGTGTGTGTATTTTAAATGTATTTTTATTGATTTCAGAGAGGAAGGGAGAGGAAGCAAGAGGTAGAAACATCCATGTCAAGAGAGAATCATTGATGGGATGGATGCCTCCTTCACGCCCCACGCGGGGGATGGAGCCTGCAATCTGGGCATGTGTGCCCTGACTGGGAATGGAACCATAAGCTCCTGGTTCATAGATCAACTCTCAACGACTGAGCCACGCCGGCAGGGCACTAGAATGTATATTAAAGTATCCTATCTAGACTTTGCAGTAGAAAATGGCATTCCTTTAACATTAAAAAATATTTTTCTTAAGTACTCAATGAATATATGACTACATTCTCTTGGTAAAAGATTCAAACAATACCGAGATACAGATCAAACTGTGAAAATCTGAACGCACCCTCTGACTTCATCCTTGTCTCCTGTCTACCTTTTACTAGTTTCTTTAAAAAAGCCTACAGGGAGCCAATGAATGGAGTCCCATGGAAGAGTGACATCATGTAGTATTCTATGAAATACTACAAAAAATTTTAAATTTCTGAACTCTTTTGAAAGTTGTATTGCCTATTGCTTGCAGATATTAAGATGATATCCTGTAAAAAAAGAAAAAAAAAGTCTGAAGGAGGGAGATGGTTGAGGGGTATATAACATTCTTACAGACCTCTAAAGTATTGGAGTGCAGTCCTCTAGAGTACCTTAATTCCTGGCCGTGCCTTGGGATGCTCTGGTTCTCCTTCAGGACCCTCATGCACTTCTCTGGTTGGATCACTTTGGCCATCCGGTGGTTACACTCTACTGGGCGAAGGACTATGATAAGAATCCCTGGTGCATTAGTTTTCTGTTATTGTCATAACAACCTTAGTGTTTTAATACAAAAGTTGCTATTTTACCAAATCTTCATAACACACCTGCCTAATATATCTATATCTATACATATATAAAAGCCTAATATGCAAAGTGTTCCTTTGGGAGTTCGACTGACCAGGAGTTCCATCACTTGCTATGACATGTGCTGACCATCAGGGGTGGTGCAGAATGAAGGAAGGCCCTGGGGGGCAGCTGGGGAAGGATGGCTCCGGCTGGCAGCCGGCAGCCACTAGAGACCCTACCCGTGCACTGGGTCTTTATTGACTTCAGAGAGGGCGGGAGATAGAAACATCAATGATGAGACTGAATCACTGATGGGCCGCTTCCTGCATGCCCCACACGGGGGATCGAGCTCCAGGCATGTGCCCTGATCAGGAATGGAACCATGACCTCCTGGTTCATAGGTCAACACTCAACCACTGAGCCATACTGGCTAGGCTGTCTGATATATCTCTTACTTTTTCATTTTTACAGATAGTAACTTATTGAGGTTTACATTGTATTAAGAAGTGGTTATGTAGTGGATGGTCTCCAAAGCCACCATGTTAGCCTTGCACTGCTTCTTCTAAGAATGGTATTTCAGGGAGAAATAAATTTACATTTGCCACTATTATTTCAGATCTCTGCTAGAGCTGCTGAAGCTATATCCGAACTAATATAGCCTCCGAATACAGTCATCTCCCAAATCCTAGGACTTCTACCTCTGCAACATTACTCCTGTCCATCCCATTGTCTCTATCCCCCATTATTCCACTCCTTTCTTACTTCCCTTAGTTACCAAAAGAGCCTGCGAAATGAGCTGGTCTCTAATCCAATGGTTCGCGGGCAATTTTGCTTCCTAGGGGATATTTGGCAAAGTTTGGAGGCATCTTTGGTTCTCACAACTGGAGGAGGAGGGGCGTTCTACAGGCACTTTGTGAATAGAGACTAGGGATGCTGCTAAAAACCTATAACATATGGTCTTGACCTCCACAACAAAGACTTATGAGGCTTCAGATGCCAGTAGTGCCAAGATTGAGAAACCTTGACCTAACGTATCCCCCACTAATATGTCTATTATATCTCCTGTGACCGGGTCACATTTCGTATCTGACCCATGCCCCTTTCACCTGTCAGTCTCACGGCTTCCTATCATTGATGAAACAGCCTTCCTTTATTTGGGGAAATTCCAATACATATATTTTTAAGATCTGCCTCCCCAAGAAAGGAGTTCTGACCCCAAATTCCTGTCTCTTTTGCAGCCAAGACTCAGCAAGACTCAGGCATGGGACGTGGTCTCTCTCAGTCAGATATATATAAAATGAACTTTTGATTTAGAGGTGAGCAAGGTGAGGGAACAGGCTCTTTGGGAAGCTTGGTAGTTGCTTGGTGCAGGAGGCTGCAAAAGTGTGTGGCATTTGAAGGTGGCGGCCATTCCCCAGTGGTGACGGCAGTTTCCGCTGGGGTGGGGTGGGGTGGCAGCAACAATCCCAGTCATGGTAGTTTTCTCATCAGGCCAGTTCTTCAGCATGGTTCTGAGCTTCATTCCCGGAAGCTTAGCCTGGAGCCACTTCTCCAATCCTTCCCAGAATTCCCTGAGCTAACCAGTATCATTTTAATATGCTCTTTCCCCCCATAGTTACCCAGAGTCAGCTTCTGTAACTCAGAACTAAGACCCCTGGTAGCTAAAGACACCCCTTCTTAAAGCTCTCCAATGGCTTCCCATACATTCTAGAAGGTGCCCCAAATCCTTTCCTTAGCCCAAGGCTAATTTTTATCTAGGGCGGTACCCACTGACCTTTACCCTGCTCTTGCCACCCTGCCTCAACCCCATATTGCTTGCTACTGAAGAACCCTACTGTCACAGCAATCCTCCTCTAAGTCCCCTAATCCCCAGGACTTTCTCTGATCTCTTTCATAAACAAAACAATCTTTATGCTTTACTACAAGAGTTGATTCACTCTACTGTAAACTGCATCTTTTCAATCTGAGTCCTCAGCAGCTAGCACAGTATCTGGCACCAAGGTGATCCATACAGATTTCCTTAACAAAGGCCAGGATGTGGACGAGTACTGCCACCTAGGGGGAGAAACTTCACTCCAGTTTTATGATTTGGACAATGGCTCTCATACAAGGATGAAACTGGGTTACTCTCTCCCTCAGCTACGTTATCTTCATTATTGTCAGACCCTCCCACGTGACTCCCGAGGATCCCTAATGACTGTACTCATACCTTTGGGTTGATCTTCCCACTCTGAAGGGTTGGTTTGGGATCAATAGAATATGACGTGTTTGTGTGTGACTTTTAAGGCTAGATCACAAAAAGACACTGTGGCTTCTGCTTTGGTCTCCCTGGGGTCACTTTCACTGAGGGAAGCCAGATGCCAGGCCAGGGGGGCACTCAAGTGGAGGTCCACGCAGTGTAAACTGACACTTCCTGACAACAGTCATGTAGTTATGTGAGCAAACCACGTTGGAAGCAGATCTCCAGCCGGAAGTCAAGACTTGAGATAACTGGCCCGTTGGTGTGGCTCAGTGGTTGAGAGTCAACCTATGAATCAGGAGGTCACGGTTCAGGTCAGGGCACATGCCTGGGTTGTGGGTTTGGATACCCCCCACCTCTCCATGCAGGAGGCATTCGATCAATGTTTCTCTCTCTCTCTCTTCCTTTCCCTTCCTCTCTTTGAAATGAATAAAAACCAATCAATCAATAAAAAAATACATTAAAAAAGACCAGATAACTGCAGCCCTGGCCTCCATCCTGACTGTAATTGCCTAAGAGGCCATGACAGAACCACCCAGCCAAGCCAGGCCCCAATTCCACACCTGCAGAACCTGTGGGGCAATACACATTTGTCGTTTTAAGGTGGCAAGCTTAAGGTGTTAAGCTTTGGCGTGACTGTTATGCAGCAACAGAATACTAATACACTCTCCAACACGGATCACTGACTACAAGCTGCTTTACATTTTGCTGGAATGGGAGGAAACTATCAGAGCCTGGGCCCCACCTAAGGCTTCTCCCAGCAGGTGACGCAGGAGCTGGGCACCACGCAGGACGCGGGGTAAGAACCCGGCACACCTGGGCGTTGGGGGCAGCGAGGTGCTTTACCATCTGCAGCACCCGCTTCCGGGTTATCATTCCCCAGGACCACGTGGAGGGAGTCAGCACGGCCATGGCGGGGGCGGGGCTGCGGCAGCCGCGCCGGGCGGCGGCAGTCCCGGCGCCTGCGTGGTGGGCTCCTCGCGCTCCCAGGTAGCGCAGCGGAGCGCCGAGCCATCGATCGTCAGTTCCCCGCGCCGCCATCAGCCGCCGCTCGCGGGGTGGCCTGCAGGGGGCGCCCTCCAGAGAAGGGCCGAGCGTCCCGTCGCAGAGTCCAGCGAGCTGCGCGGTGTCTCCCCGTTACACCTCTGCACCTCTTGCCCGCCCAGCTCCGGTAGTCGCCGCTCGGGAGTCGCGGCCGCTTGAGGCAGAAGCTGTCAGGCCGCGCCGTCGTCGTCACCGTTTCCGCCTCTGGGTACCTAACTGGTCCCCGGGCCCCGCCGCCGCCGCCGCCATGAAGCTGCGAGTGCGGCTTCAGAAGCGGACCTGGCCCCTGGAGATGCCGGAAGAGGAGCCGACGTTGGGGCAGCTGCGTGCGCACCTGAGCCAGGCCCTGCTGCCCACCTGGGGGTACAGGTAGGCGGCCGGGGGGCTGCGGGGGGCGTGGCGGGCGGCGCGGGCCCGGCGTCACGTGACGCGGGCGGTGAGCGGGCCCCGCAGCCGCCACCGGACCGGCTCGCGCGCAGCCCGCCGGGGAGCGGGCGTTGGGTCCCGGCTCGGAGGCCATGGCCGGGCGTCCAGGGGGCTCCGTCCCCTTCCAGGGTGAGCTGTCAGCTTCCGTTTTCGTGGTTCACGATCCCAGGGACAGGCCGGCGCGCGGAATCCTCCCGCCCTTGGAAACGCCAAGTTGGAAACGACAGGCTTGGCTTGGGTTAACATTCATCAGGCTCCCAGGGGTGTAACTTCACCCTCTCCAGCTGCCGGGGTTTTTCCGTGAAAAAGTTTGGAAAGTACTAGAAGGACTTAGCAGCCGGCCCCGCCTCCGAGGCCACCTGCAGCTTGTTTGGCTGCAGGGAGGCTGCAATAATCCTAAGGCTTCATTGAGAGTTTATACAGGCGGGTCGCCGCAGTGAGCATCCTGCAAAGTTGTTCTCAAATTGATTTTGGAGGCAGAAAAACATCGATTTGTTGTTACACGTATTTGTGCATTCATTGGTTGATGCTTGCATGTGTTCTGACCCTGGGATTGAACCTGCAACCTTGGCCTTTTGGGGAGGACGCTCTAACCAACCGAGCTACCCGGCCAGGGCCCGCTACGAAGTTTTGCAAAGCGCAGCGTGTCCCAGTGTTTCAAATCATCTTATTTTCCTGAGCGAGATGTTGCTTTTTGCTAAAATTTTAGGCCTTAGGATGGTTCTGGAGGCTTCCCGTTGGCGGCAGTGACACGGAGAAGTAAAGGATCAAAGTCTTATTTGTGGGGCTGCGGATGAGGCTGCTTTATTTCTATTGAGGGTATCTTTTGGGGACAGTAATCTGGGAATAGAGGGACAAAAGGATGATGCTTTTCAAACTTAGAATTTTGTGCTCAGAAAAAAAAAAGTTCCCTGGGGCTTTTCAGATGAATTAATTATTTTTTTAAAAATATATTTTTTATTGAGTTTTTACAGAGAGGAAGAGAGAGGGATAGAGAGTTAGAAACATCGATGAGAGAGAAACATCGATCAGCTGCCTCTTGCACACCCCCTACTGGGGATGTGCCCGCAACCAAGGTACATGCCCTTGACCGGAATCGAACCTGGAACCTTTCAGTCCGCAGACCGACGCTCTATCCACTGAGCCAAACCGGTTTTGGCGAATTAATTCTTTAAGAGAAAACCTTTCTGTTCATTAAGTGGCTTCCTTTACAAGACTTTTACAAACTTCCATTTAATTTTGGGGAATTCAGAAAAACTAGACCATATTATGAACTACTCACCTTTGCATTTTTCAGGTTAAAAGTAAACCTGATTTTTTCTAAATTAAGACAAAAATAGAAAATGAGGTATTGACATAACCCCCTATAAACATATTAAAGTGACATGTCTATTGTAATTTCTTGGTGTTAAACCTAAGATGTTTGCATGCTGACTTCATTACCCCACCACAGATTTTCAAAATTAATTTCTCTTTTTTTAAGGTATTTTCATGTGTGTATTATTATTATTATCTTTTTAATTAGGAGGGGCAGTCTTAAACGGATGTGCAATACAGCATGACTCCCTGTTTACCAAGAGCCCAAGTTAGTTTCTCTTTCAGGTTTGTTTTCATAGTAGAGGCTGGTTAACTGGAAGGACTGTAGCTTCTGGACTTGTGTTCTTTTTAAAATAGGCAGTTTTAAAATGTGTCCATATGACATTATTATTTTTTTAAATGTCTTTGCTGACTGAGTGGATCTGGAGTTGCCAAAAAATATTTTTAAAAGGCCTGAAGTTTCTAGGATGCAATTTCCTGATGAACTTAAAAGATCGTCAGGAGTACTTTCTAAAACTTCAGTAATTTCTCAACCAAGGACACGTTGATTGGTAAGGAAACACGTATTTCCACGTGAAAGGGAAAACAATGAATTACTTCAAGCACTTTTGAAAATGCAGCATTGTGAGGAAGCATAAACAGCCTGATTTTTCAAAGGACTTCATCCTTTGATTTCAAGAAGTTAATGAAGTTGCTGTGTGTAGATGTCTTATAAAATGTTGTACAATTGTTTATTATTGCTTTCCACGACATGGTGAACTGATGGTTATTCTTTCAGGTCAGATACTCTGATACAGAAAGGGGAGGGGAGTTATTTGCTTCAGGAAAATTTGAGCTCTTAGCGTATTTATCAGTGAATTTTTGGATTTGTGCTGCCTTCCCTGTAAAAGATATCATAGCTGGTCATCAGTGAGAAGAGAACTTGTACTTATAATAGGAGGAATGATTTTGTATTCAATCACCTACGTACACTCATCCAACTTTTTGTGATTACGAATATTCATTTAAGATGTGGGGTTAGTATTTTTTTTTAATTTAAATAAATCTTTATTGTTCATATTATTACAAAAGTTCCTCATTGGGGTTAGTATTAATATTTTAGAACCAACATAAGCTAACTGTCCTGTAAGGGCATCGAATGGGTAGCCTGATTTCAGTCTCATCCAATACTTTTATTTGCCAAGTGCTGCAGGTACCGTTTTGTTTTTTTTTTTAAATATATTTTATTGGTTTTTCACAGAGATGAAGAGAGAAGGATAGAAAGTTAGAAACATTGATGAGAGAGAATCATCGATCAGCTGCCTCTTGCACACCCCTCACCGGGGAAGTGCCCGCAACCAAGGTACATGCCCTTGCCCGGAATCGAACCCAGGACCTTTCAGTCCGCAGGCCGACGCTCTATCCACTGAGCCAAACCGGTCCCGGCTGCAGGTACCGTTTTGAACTAGACAGACAAGATACCTGATCTTATGAAACTTAACTTCTAATGTAGGGGTTCGGGAAGAGAGACAACATATAAATTTTCAAATGGTGGAGTTACAATAAAAATAAACACGAGAATGAAATAAAGTGATGGAGACTAGTGGAAATGCGGCATCTCTGAAGAGGTGACTTGAGTTGAGACCTGAATGATGGGAGTCAGTTGAAGGGCTGGAATAGCAGATGCAGAGGCCCAAAGGCTGCAGGGAGGTTCATTTGTTTTGAGGACAGACACGAAGCTCACGTGAATAGAGAACAGTCAGTGAGAGGAAGGATGGCACAAGGTGGGTGAGATAGAGAAGCAGGTCGGGGTCAACTCTTGGGCTTGGAGGCCATGTTAAGGACTCTGTTCCAAGTTCAATAGAAACCATTGGAGGATTTTCAGCAGAGGAATGCTATGGTGTAATTTACATTTTGAATCCCAGTTGCTGTCACTCTTAAGACATTGTTTTATGTAACACTAAAGGGGAAAAAAATGCTGTCAGGCTGTGATATGTCATAGATTTTAAGAAGCATCCTTATTTCAAAGACCAAAATATAAAAAAGTATGTGTCTTAGAATTGATGAAACATGGATTAATGATAGAGAATTACTGTATCCTATCCCACAGGCTAGAATTTTGCCATTTAGAAATCTATAACCGAGGCATTTGGTGATAAGAATGAATAATTTGGTTGTTTTTTCTAATTTGGGCTTCCTTCTTATTTTTCTTTTGTTTTCATTATTTAGTTTGTCTGGGTTCATACCATGTACCTTATATTTGTTCCACATATATTGTTGAGGATAATGGTAGTAGGTAGGTAGCTCTTACCATCCTTATCCATCTTTCTTGGCAGTTCTGATATCCGGTTTGCAATTACATTGAACAACAAGGATGCCCTCACTGGAGATGAAGAGACCTTGGCTTCATATGGGATTGTTTCTGGGGACTTGATATGTTTGGTTCTTGAAGATGCCATTCCAGCACCTAACTTGCCTTCATCCACAGTTTCAGAGCATTCCTCACTCCAGAATAAAGACCAACCCTCTTTGGCCACCCCCTCCAGTCAGTCCAGCACACAGGATGAACAAGGAGAGGCAGCCCAATTCGATGTCTGGAATGAAGACAGTATGGTGGGTATTAATATTCAGACAGAAATGGGTAGTTGACAAATCATATTTGATTGTATTTTGGGCCAGTTAGGATCATTATCATCAGTAGATTGCAGATTATATTCTTATAGAAAAAATTTTTTGAAACTGCTAAATACCTAGATCAATAATGGACATTCTTTTTATTTTTATTTTTTAAAAAATTTTATTTATTTATTTATTTATTTATTTATTTATTAAATTATTATCTGTGTACATATTTTAACATTACCCCCCCCCATACATACCCTCCCTCCCCAGAGTTTTGTGTCCATTGGTTGTACTTATATGCATGTATACAATGGACATTCTTTTTAAAAAATATATATATTTTATTGATTTTTTTACAGAGAAGACGGGAGAGGGATAGAGAGTTAGAAACATCAATGAGAGAGAAACATCGATCAGCTGCCTCCTGCACACTCCTTATTGGGTTTGTGCCTGTAACCAAGGTACATGCCCTTGACTGGAATCCAGCCTGGGACCTCTCAGCCTGCAGGTCAACGCTTTATCCACTGAGCTAAACCGGTTAGGGCAATATTGGGCATTCTGAAGAACCCAGTTTTTACCTGTTTATTTTGTTCAGATATTCATTCACCCCTTCAGAAAAATTATCCCTTGGCTTCTATTGCTGCATTTAACCGCTTGTACACCATAAGCGTCTATAGTCGCAAGCGGCGGGCCTTTTTTAATTAAATTCAAAATATGTGGCAGTTAACTGGTTAAGCTCATGTTCCCAGCTTTGCTTCTCTGATCTACTCCACTTGTTAAGGCTATATATAGTCAGTTATTTCCAAATGATATGCTGGGCATTTAGACCTGTATTTTAAAAAGTATCACCTCAAAAAAACATTGTCACCTCAGATTCTCTATGCCAACGTAAATTTGAAAATATGTGCACTGCTGAAACTGGTTGGGCTTAGTGAATAGAGCGTCGGCCTGGGGACTGAAAGGTCCAGATTCGATTCCGGTCATGGGCATGTACCTTGGTTGTGCAGGAGGCGGCTGGTCGATGTTTCTCCCTCATCAATGTTTCTGGCTCTCTATCCTTCCCTTTCTCTCTATAAAAAAATCAATTATATATATATATATATATATATATATATATATTTATATATATATATATATTTATATATTTATATATATATATGATTGTGCACTCATGTTCTTTTCTTCCCAAGTCAGCCGCGCTCTTTGTTTGTCAGTGTTACTGCTGTGTTCCTGAGCTTAAAACCTTGAAGTGATTTTTGACTCCTCATACCCAACCCCTTAACAAGCCCTGTCAGTTTTTCCTTTCCATTTCAGGCCTTCAATGTCTGTTCTTTCTAGGTTCATTTTCTTTCTCCAGCTTTTTGGTTATGTTGTTCCCTTGCTCTTAATTACTGTGTCACAGATATACCCGTGCTCCTACTTTTGAATGGAAAAAGACTACATATCTCTAATTCAACCCTGTCATGGTCCAGAGGAGGAAAATGTCTGTCCTCCTGGGCCAGTTTTTAGGCTTTCTGAAGTTGCCCCATATCCTTTACGGGGCTGGTTCCTGTTCTTCCCTCCTGTAAACTGTCATCTCCTGTCAGATCAGACAACTTATTTCCCCTCTACCAGCCAACACATTCACGTGTGCACACGGACACACCACCTAATGACTGCTTTGCACCTTTGCTCTTGCTGCTCATCCAGCATTCACTACCTGTCCTCTCCCTGCCGTCTATGTCTCTGCCCATCCTAAGGCCCTGCCAACCATAATACTTCTCTTTAATTTATCTTTATTATCTCTGTTGCCTTAGAAACACCTCATTTTTTATCCAGCCTTTTGTTTCTTGTAAGTCTCAAGTGATCATTTTCTTTCTTAATTTATTAATAATATATATGTCAGCTTGTTAATGGTTTTGTCTGTGTACTTATCTCTTCAACTTAATTTTTTTTTTCGTGGGCCTTAAACATTTATAAGTATTCATTGTGCCTAGCATGTCTTTTAGTATATACAGATACTAAAAAATACTTTTTAACAGTTTGTAAATTATGAAAAGCATCTATGTTCAGATTTTTAGTAATATCGATAGTATCCAGAGAGAATAAGGAAGTTAAAAAAAGATTTTTTTTTTTTTTAAAACTTAACGTATTTTTATGTGTGTGCTTTTTTTTTTTTTTTTTTTTTTTTGAAATTATTATGTTTGTGTTTTTGTTTCATAGAAGTAATCTAGGGAATGAGTAAGAATATTCAGTCACATATTTAAATTACATTTATGAATCATTTTTGTTGATAGACCCCTTCAAAGATTCTGGTAGAAGGGCTGATTTCCTTCTGTGTACTATTAAAATTGTCCAGTAAAATGGGACTTTTCATAATATATGTAATAGTTACTTTACTAGTTTTCTTTTGGAAAATTTTGAGAAATTAATATTACCTCAAGTTAGTAATTTAAGTTCCAAAAGCATGCTGTTTTGTGCTCTAAGACTTGTACAGGGCAACTATAAAACCTTTGTGTGGAGACAGCTTGAAATCTCATAAATAATGCATTAAGTACTTGAAACAGTAGGGCCTGCTAATTAAATGTAGGATGGAGCATTAGAAAATGAAAATAGGAAAATTTTACTTTTACAGTTAACTGTAAATTAATTTTCTTAGATGCTGTTATATTTGGGAACTCATCTAGTACCTGTTGATTCTTTAATGGGAAACAAATAAGTGGGTATCAGACCCTAATATTAGGTAGAAGCTGCATTTTAGTCACTTGTTCCAGTCATTTGTAAATGACATATGATAAATGATCTGGTCAGAGAGGTGGTGCTGAACATTTTTTTCACTTCCCCATGCATGAAGAATAAGATAAATATTCATATCATATCAGAATGGCTCAGTGAATGCCAGTGGTTCTCATGGAGTGGGAGTAAGGTTTGATAAGCTCACCAGGGGATTCTGATATCTTCTTCTTATGTCATTATCAGTTTAGGGCAACCCTTTTTAATATTTTTTCACATATATTCTCCCATGCAACTGTCAGTAAGTAGTAAATGGCCAAAAGTTAGGCATAATCCTATATAGTAAAGAGCTAACATTCTAATTAGACTGGACAGCAGAATGATCATCCGGATGACCTTCCAAACGACCTTCTGGACAAAGCCAGGGCTGTGAGGGCTAGCCAAGATTGCGAGGGCCAAGCCCCTTGCATGAATTTTTTGCATCAGGCCTCAAATAGATAGATAAGAAGAACCTGTACACTTTATAATTTAGTGAGGTGTTAAGTGGTTTTAATAAGTAATTTCTGTTTATTCAAAATCTGATAGAACCTCCTTTGTTAGGTAGTGTTAATTGTCTTTGCCCTCTATTTTAACAAGTGAATTTGGATGTTTTCCATAAGCCAGCAGGGATTTTAGAATAACCTCATGCTCCTTGACATTCTCCTACCCTTAGACTCATAGTAGATAATTTTAATTTCCTCTGTCCCCCTTTTAATGGAAATATGAACCGAGAAAGAAGAAACATGTGCTTTGCATTAGGAGTTGAGCACATGCCTACAAAACCAACTTTGTGAGCAAAGTTAATATAGGTAATTTAGTCCTATTGAAGCAGCATGTTATGTTCAAAAGCTGTGAACTGGGAATCTGGTGAGCTTGTTCACTTCAAAGTTTTATTAGTTGGAAACCTTGATTGTTATTTAATCTGAGTCACAATTACAGCCTGTATAAAAAGGTGACATCATTTGTTATGCCTATTTTGTAGCATTTTTGCATGTTGCAAATGAGAAAACACTGAAAACAAAAACTGAATTGTAAGACATCCTTCATCATTTACTGAGTGTCTGCTATGTGTTAGGTACTGTACTGGGGTTACACAAATAGATGACATGTAGTTTGTTCATTTCCAAGTTGGCGGTCATGGTAGGATGTAGATGAGTAATTAGGAGACTTCAGTACTGTGTGATGAAGTGGCGTAATGAAGCCTTTGCAAAGCAGAGGGGAGTCGGTGTCACTTGTGTAGAAGAGGTGGAGTCTGCTGGAGTGGGGAGGAAGGGACTGGCAGAAAGTGAACTTGTTACAGAGTCAGGGACCGGGTGACGAAAGGCCTTGTATGCTAAGGCGTTGCGGAGTTTGGACTTTATTTTGTAGGCCTGCATTTCTCAGCATGTCCTCTGAAAAACTTGTTTCAGGAGGTTGCTGGTGTAAGTAAGTGTTAACAGGATGCCGAGCGTTGAGGAAGGAAGATGGCCTTTCTTGGTTATGCGCTCATTATTATTGGACTTCTCAGAGCTTTGTAACGCCATAGCATACTTTGTGTATATGGAGGGTAAGGTTAGGTGGCAATAGCATGTAGCATTTTCCAACTTATTATATTGTCAACCTTTTTTCCTAAGAACATCTAGGGTCACATTTCAAGGTACAATTTAGAGAAATGCTGCTGTCTAAATTGGGGAAATATTGGTAAGGTTTAAGTTGGGACATAGGACATAATTGGAGTCTTAATTGTCAGAAAACTGGCAGCAGTGGGTAGAATGTATGGAAGATAAAAAGTGGAGTCAGGGATCCTGGGAGGCTGTTGCTGGAGGTAAATGAGTGTTGGAGTAGGAAGGGGCAGATTTTAGAGATAGATAAGATGGAACTTTGAAGTATGAAAACTAGGAAGATTTCCAGGTTAATGGAGACAAGGAATTCAGGATGGAGGAATAGATTGCAGGCTCATTTATGTAGGAGGGCTTGCTTTAACGTGTCCCATTTCTGAACCCAATAATGTGCTTTGACTTTGAGCACTAATCTCAGTTCACTTTTGGATACAAAATATCATGTATAAAAGTCTATTTAATGAATTCATTGTTTGTTATCCTTTTCAGCCAGGGCCTAGTCAAAATGTTGAAGCTGAGTCAATTGAAGATATTGTGGATATGGACACAGGTTTCTACCCCTCAGAACCAATGCTCTGCAGTGAATCAGAGGACGGGCAAGTGCCCCATTCATTAGAGACCCTGTATCAGTCAGCTGACTGTTCTAGTCCCAGTGATGCCTTGATAGTATGCATTCATCTTCTCATGCTGGAGTCGGGTTACATACCTCAGGTAAGATGACAAGAGAAGACAAGCATCTTGGTAGGGTTTATGTTTCCTTTTTGGAAAGGAGGTGTATCAGTGATATCCCTACAATGTTGTGTATTCTAGTTTTCTTTACTAAATGTGGTTGGATATTAAATGTAATGTGCTGAACACAGTGATAGGCATACAGTAGGCAAGCAGTAAATATTTTCTTCCTTTTCTTTTTTTCTCCATTTGTTTTATCAGTTTTTAATTAATATTATAAGAGTGATGGCAACTCTGGTTAAAAAAAGACAAGATTATGTATGATAATATGTAGATGAAATGTGGTTAGTGAGTGTGGACTGAGTGTAATTAGATGGATGATGACACACTAGGTTTTTTATGTTAACGGCTCTATGAATTGCCAGTTAAGTTAGTAAGATTCAGTTAGGAAGAGGACATTGTTCTTATGCTGTAGTTCATCCATTCATTCTCCATTGTCAGGTGCAGTGCTTTGTCTCTGCTCCCACGTTGCTTATAATCTAAGAGTAAGAGAGATAAGTATACAAAATACTGTACTGTATTGGTTAATTCTAGGAGAGACTCAGCCATAGATAGGATGCCAGAGGTTCACAGAGAACATTTAGAGTAGAGTTTCTTAAACTTTAATGTGCACAGAATACCTGAGGATCTTATTAAAATGCAGATTCTAATTTAATAAGTAAGGTGAAGCCTGAGATTCTGCATACTCCCACACAATAGCGATGTCACAGCTGGTGTTATTATAAAATGAAAATTATAATATATTATGGTAAATAACAGAGAAGTACATAATAGAAATATGAACAGAAGGTTAGTGGATAAAAAAGAGAATGACAAATATGATTTTTTTTGTTCTTGTTATCCTCACCCAAGGATATCTTTTTATTGGTTTTAGAGAGGAAGGGGAAGAGAGAGAGAAAAACACTGATGTGAGAGAGAACTGTCAATTGGTTGCCTCCCACACTTGCCCCAACCAGCAGCCTAGTTATGTACTGTGATTGGGAATCAGACCCCACAACCTTTTGGTGTTTGGGACGATGCTGCCACCAAGTGAACCATAGCCAGGGCAGGATTTTAACATTTTTTTTTATTGGGGTGACATTGTTTAATAGGGTTATATAGGTTTCAAGTGCACATTACTGTGTATTGCAGTGTGTGCCCACCATCCAAAGTCAGTCATCTTGATCACCATATATTTGGCCCCCTTTACTCTCTACCCTCCTCCACTCCTTCCATCTGGTAGCCACCATACTGTTATCTGTCTGTGTCTCTATGAGTTTCAGTTTTATATCCCACATATGAGTGAAGTCATGTAATTCTTAGCTTTTTCTGACTGGCTTCGATTAGCATGTATGTGTATGTATGTATATACACACATACATGTTACATTTATATATATGTGTTTTTTTAAAAGAAAACACACACATATATATAAATATATATATATATATGTGTGTTTTTTTTCTTTTAAAAAGCCTTACCAAAGTGATATTTGAGTTGGGGTCTTGAATAATGACCTTGGTAGACAGAGAAGTGAGTCTTTGAAGGGAGAAATTAATTCCCATCTTCTGATGCTATTTTATCTATTTGAATAAAAATTTTGATGGAGGATAATATATTGAAAATTTTTTTCTATCAAAATTTTATTCATAGCAGTGTTAATGATTTGACAAATTTTATTAAGGGGATTGTAAGGAATGCTTATTTCTAGACAAGTTAGGGAGTTCCTGGATGTTTAATCCTTTTGAGAGTAATACATTTCTTTATTTGTTTCCTTTTAATTTCCTTCCCCAGGGGACTGAAACCAAAGCTATTTCCATGCCAGAGAACTGGAAGTCGGGAGGCGTGTATAAGCTGCAGTACATGCATCCTCTCTGCGAGGGCGGCTCTGCTGCTCTCACCTGTGTGCCTTTGGGAAACCTGGTCGTCATAAATGGTAATTGGATGGCATAGCTGCAGTCATTAGTTTACGAATACTCATGTTTCTCTCCGAATGGGTTATAGCCAGCTCACTGGCCATTATGATATAATTATGAGTTTTTTTTTTTTCAACTTTGTTTAATCCCTGTACCACTGATAACATGAGTCTGAAAGATTTCAGAATTATGGGTTGGCCCTACTAGTGTGGCTCAGTGGTTGAGCCTCAACCTATGAACCAGGAAGGCAGGGTTCAGTCTCCAGTGTGGGGCATGTAGGAGACAGCTAATCAGTGATTCTCTTATTATTGTTGTTTCTCTCTCTCTCTCCCTCTCCATTCCTCTCTGAAATCAATAAAAATATATTTTTATAAAAAAAATAGAATTACAGGTAAATGTTTAGGCTAGCAGCCTTCATTCTTTGAGTAGTCCTACACTTTTTTCTGTTTTAACCTTATAATTTATTTTTTGCTCCAGTGAGAGTTGTTATAATAGGAGTGAGATGAACTTTTTGAAGAATATATGTTTCTTTATGTCTATAAATGACTTTTTTTTAATATATATATTTTATTGATTTTTCACAGAGAGGAAGAGAGAGGGATAGAGAGTTAGAAACATCGATGAGAAAGAATCATCGATCAGCTGCCTCTTGCACACCCCCTACTGGGGATGTGCCCGCAACCAAGGTACATGCCCTTGTCTGAAATCGAACCCGGGACCTTTCAGTCCGCAGGCCGATGCTCTATCCGCTGAGCCAAACCGGTCCCGGCGTGACTTTTTTTTTTTTAAATCAAGGTCTCGAACTAGAGATCATAAGAGGTGAGATTGAGGTGGGTCCTTTTGTATTCAGTTTGGCACCATTGATCAATATATAAATGCCCACAAATACTAAGGGTGCTGAGGCTTTAGTCTGTGTGTGTTTTCTCCCCTACCCCTGAGAAAGTCACTCTTAATAGTTTCTTTCCTACTTGTCTTCAGTATTAAGAAAATTTCACTGGGATAGCAATACCTCCCATTTTTAAATTTCATTTTAGCTCAGATGCCACCTACATGTCCATACCAACTACCAGTGGTGTATGGAACAGTCTCATAATCACACATCGTGGAGATCCATTTGAGTGGTTAGACTCTTTCATTTTTGTTGCATTTTGATTTTTGAGGTTTATCCTTTTAAGGATACTATTGGAATGACTGCATTTTTCATTTTTCAGCACAGCTCATCTTTGATATGTCTTAGCTCAGTGATTTTCAACATGTTCTTCAGCTACTAGTTTCCGCTGAGACGGAAGCAAGAGGAGGCTTAGTAGAACTATCTCCACTTAAATCTTGAGCAGCAACATGTTTGTCTGTTTCATTTCGTGGGTTTTCTACAAGAAAAAAATTTTGTTTTTTCTGCTGAAAGACAGTTCTAGGTGCCCTCTTGTGTAATTCCTGCTATTTTCTTTTTACTGGATTCTTCAAAATGTTACTTAAAAGTCTCAAAATTTCAGCTTGAACAGCTTTGGTGGTATTCCACATTTGTCTGGACGTGACTATCTGATGGCACGAGGACCTAGCAATGCCTTTTCAACAATTCATCACAATTACAAATGTAACTTTTAGTTGGGTGTTCCATCCAGATTAGCAGTTTCTGCCTCCATTTAATCATAACTTGTAAGGCGGATGTTACCAAATGGTAAATATGAGGTTGTAATTTTTGCCTCAGTTTCTTACTAAAACTCTTTAACAACATCTGCATAATAACCTCTATTTACTAGTTTCAAGATACTTAAAAGAGAATAGCTGTTAAATGTCTAATGATTTCTTAGTTTCCAATATTTCGTTTATTTGCCATTCTTGGCAAATCACCTGCTTGCAGACTTGCATGGCAGACAGCCATTCCAGGCTTGATTCTTTAAAAGGAGTAGTGTGTCCTTAAATCTCTCCTTCCTATTCGGTGCACATGTGCATAAGCACATCACTGGCTCTTTCATAGAATGAGATGAAGTATGCCTTTGTGTATGTGAATGAAATTGAACTCTCTGGTGATGTCAAGAATATTAGTCTTTTGAGTCTAGAGAGAGGATTCATTTAACAAACAAGGGAAGTCTCATTGCCAAGGGTTAAAAAATAAATGAAGTTTTGGTGACACTGGTAGGAATAATGATTTTATTGTGTTTAACTGTCTTCTGTTAACCTTGTTGCATATCTTCTAGTTACTAATGAGCTGCTATTGGTAATACTTTTTATATAGGTATTATATAAAGGTGCTTACTGTACTTTTTAAAGGGTGTTTTAGAGTGATTTTTAATTCATGCGATGGCATGTTTATACTTTGGGCTTTGCTGTGAGGGAAGGATATAAGCATAGAGCAGTTTGTTTTGTATAATGTGTCCTTTGTATATCGGGGGCAAGGAATACAGTCTCATACTGGAAAATGAAGGCAATTGATGAAGTGACAAACTTTGATCTTTCTTTTGCTTATTTACAGCTACACTAAAAATCAACAGTGAGATTAGAAGTGTGAAAAGATTGCAGCTGCTGCCAGAATCTTTTATTTGCAAAGAGGAACTAGGTAATGTAACCCATGATTTAACTTTCGGGTTGAAGTTTTGAGAGCTTCACTTTTAAAAACCAGAAAGGTAATGTTCAAAAGATTGAAAGTTTCTGAATGAAATTAAAGCAAATTCAAGACCCTGATGCAGAGTTTCTGTTTCCTGTTATTCTTAGGGTCTTGGAATGCTGGGTTATGTTTACATTGCCATTATGTAAAGACACTAGCATGTAATTTTTTGCACACTATTGATGCTTCAAAATTTCTGAATTAATCTTTGTGGATTTTTCTGACGTTGTGGTTAGCCAATATGGAAAACAGAGGATCTATGTTTTGTGGGAACCATATAATGGAATTTCATTATTGAAGATACTTGCTTAAACATATATAAATTTGGTTGCTTTTTTGATGTAGATTGAACCTTTGCCAGAAGTTTGCATTCTACACATGGTTTCATTTATATTCTATAAAATTATTAGTAGATGCAAAGAAATTAAGTTTTCCTTTTTATTTTTTTGATTTAAGTCAAAGGATGAGATGTGGGTAGGTGGTTGAAGGATAAGAGATGGGGTAGAGAGGGAAGTATCAGCATTAAGTACTGCTTTGTGCCTTTACAGATGTTATTCCATTTCATCCTCATAGTAAACTGGAGGGTTTAAAATCCAGATGGACAGTAGTGTGATATAGGGGGAGATGACATTTAAAGCAGTGTCTTTTAAGGGAAGACCACGTAGATCTAGATCTTTGCTCTGAAGGCCTAACTCAGTCTTGTTTCCAGGGAAGATCAAACCTGGAGAGACTGACGAATATGAACTAAAACTGATAGAGAAAGCAGACATCAGAATACTGTTGACCATGGGAAAGCGAGTTAGGGTGCTGATCCCCCATGTAGTCAAAAGTCCACATATAACTTTTGACTTCCCTAAAACTTAACTACTGTCGAACTTTGGTATCCAGGGGGATTAGTTCCAAGACTCCCTACAGATACCAAACCCATTGATGTTCAAGTCCCTTTTATAAAACAATGTAGAACAATGCGCACAATTGGCCCTCTGCATCCACGGATTCCCAACTGCGGATGGGAACACTGTTTTCTATTGCTGTTGGTTGAATATGAGGAAGCAAAACTAGGGATATGGAGGGCTGATTGTATATTTATTTTTAAAAAAATCTCTGTATCAGCGGGCCCGAGAAGTTAAAACCTGTGCTGCTCAAGGGTCAACTGTGCATATTTATAAAGGTCTCTGAACATTTAATGTCACAGTAGACCAGTGTTTCCTAGCCTTTTTCCCTTATCAGTCGCTGAATGAGCCATTTATACATTCCCCGCCTTGTCATCCTCCCCCATGAAAATGTAATACCATAGATAACTGTATTTGTATACTGTGACTCTTGGGAGGGGGCACAACCAACGTAATAACTAGGATTTTATTTTTTGTACCCTCCCAAGAACCAATTTTTGCCCTGTTGGGGGCAATATTGCCCCTGTTGCAAATGCATGAACTAGACTCATTAAATCTCTAAAGATGATCTTGCCATTAGGACCAGAAATTCCTTGGCTACCACTCTGTATATTCATTTCTATGCTTTGGGGAGTAGAAATACTCTAACTCTATAGCAGAAGAAGTTATTATGCCCATTTTATAGATCAGGAAATAGGTCTAGAGGAGGTTAAATTACTTCAAGGTCACAGAGCTAATAAATGGTGGAATTTAGGATTGGAATAGATTTGATTCTTATGCCTTTAAAAAAAAATTTTATAGGAATGTAGCTCAGATTCATGTTCTTTATTTGCTTTTTGTTAAAAAGGAAATGAAAGGAAAGAAGAAAAGGAGGGAAAAGTTAATACAGTTTTATTACAAGTTTATGGAGTATATTAATTGAATATTTTTAATGTAGCACTTTTTATGTTAGCAATATGCTGCGAGTTTGACAAGTCATTTAAATAAATGTTTACTGTGGCTTATAATACCCATATATACTAGGTACTGCTATTTATCCTTTTATTCTAAGTCCCTAATTATTTTTATTAGAGGTTACTGAAGAAAATTCTTTTATAGAACATCAGTTTTCATATTAAACCAAATTTATTTTTAAAATATCTTGAAATTTGATTTAAACTCAAGATTATAATTCATGTAACAAAGTTGTAGAGTTTAGCTGCATATTTTCTTATTTATTATCAACTTATAATGCATGTCTTATTATAGTCTAGAGGCCTAGTTCACAAAATTTGTGCACTGGTAGGGTCCTTAGCTGTTGCCAGCCAGGGCCTCCCTCCCTTCCTCCAGCCAGCCCTGCCCCCTACTCCTCTGGTGAACTCCTGGTTGAGGGGACAATTTGCATACTACACTTTTATCATATAGGATAGTGAGTTGCATACATATGGACTGGGGAGGGAGCAAGCATAATTTTTGATTATCTGCCGATAAATACTAGGCACACTGTGTGTGTAGCTTTATATTTTAACCACACTTACCTGGTGCAGTGGTGATGTCTCCTTTAAATAGGTGAGCAAACAGGTACAGAACAGAAAGTTCAAAGTTATACACTTGGTAAATATATAGCAAAACTGAAGTGGGAACTCTAGGCACAATTTGACAGTGTACATGTTATAATGTACATGTAAATCACCTGGGATTTTATTAAAATGCAGGTTCTGATTAAGTAGGTCTGTGGTGGGTCCTGAAATTCAAGATGTAGAAACGTTTCCCAGGTGATGTCAGTTCAGGTGATCCCTGGACCACAATTGGTAACAGTTTAGTGGCTAATATGAGTGCTTTGGAGCCCTACTTAACCTCATGCCCTGCTTTGCCACTTACTCTAAAACCTTGGATGAACTCTCTATATCTTGTCCTGCCTTTAAAGTGGGGATAATAGTATTTATCTCTTAATTAGGGTGAATTGCTGATTCTAAAGAAGGCTTGAAAACTGCTTGACACAGTTGCTGGTACATAGTCATGTTATAAACACTTTTATTCTACTAAATCTAAGCTCCACAAGAGCAGTTCCCCACTGCTTCCCCAGTGCTCAGAGCAGATTGGTAGATATCTTCTGTGTAATAAAAGTGTAATATGCTAATTACACCTGATGTCCATCAGGGCTGCGAGGGAAGCCCTGATCCTGGGTGCCAGAGGGAAGCCGGTGCCGACAGTGGGGAAGGAAGGCCTATTCTTGCATGAATTTCGTGCATCAGGCCTCTAGTTCAGTATATCCAGTGTTTCCTACCAAATAATAGCCTATGAGCTGTATAGATTGGGTACAGCTCAATTCATTTGGTATTATGGGATTTTAGCTTTCAGAGTCACACACTATATACTTCCTAGTGTGCTGGAGATTTTGGTTTATATCTGTTGGAATTACTTGTGAAAATTTATTTACATCTTTGATTTGGTTTGGCTGAAGTAGAGGATACCAATTCAAGTTTTCCACTTGATTTTTCTATTTTAAATATTTTAGGAGAAAATGTAGCCAACATCTACAAAGATCTTCAGAAACTCTCTCGCCTCTTCAAAGACCAGCTGGTGTATCCTCTTCTGGCTTTTACCCGACAAGGTGAGAGATGATAAATGATCACAGGTCAGATGGCTAGAAAGAATAGTAAATTTAAAGTACTGTGCTCATGACTCTTCCCTCTTTTCTCCTTCTAGTGAAATTCTGCTCTGATTTTAAGATTAAGCTTAAATGTTAATTACTTAAATGTTATTCACTCCCTCTTTGTAGTTCCACAGCATTTTGTACATGTCTTTATTGTAGCTTTTTATTCAGTGTATAATAATTGTTGATATAATTTCTTTCCACCTAAGGTTGTGAATACTTGAAAGCAGGGAATATGTCTTATTCACTTTTGTATTTTCATGGTCTAGCACAGGGTCTGGCCCATAATATGTTCAATAACACATAAATAAATAATGGATAGCCTGTAAATTGCATCTAAGTTGTGTGTGTGTTTTTTTAAACAATATTTATTGGGGCTCTATGCTAGGCACTTCGGATATTTCACATGTGTTTTTACTTAATGTTGACAACTTTGAAGTAGCTTTTATTCTCTTTGTGATGGTGAAACTGAATAATTCAGTGAGGTTTATATTCACTCAAGATACTTGTATAGTCAGCTTTCTCTTACTTGGGTTGTAGTAAAAAATACTTAAAAACCTCAGTGACTTGCCCAAGCCGGTGTTGCTCAGTTAGTTGGAGCATTGTCCTGTACCCCAAAAGGTTCGTAGGCCAACGCTCAACCACTGAGCCACACCGTCTGGGCTCTACCCCCCTTTTTTAAGCCTGCCTAATAGTAATTCCTAACACCTGAGTGCTTATTGTATGCCAAACATTGTTCTAAGCACTCTATATGTATTAATACATTCATTTCCCAACCTAGTGAGGTAGATAATGCTATTAACCCATTTTTCAGAAAAGGAAGTTGAGTTAGGCAGAGTTTAAGTAACTTGTCCAAATGCACACAGCTAATAAGGGGCAGCCAATGAATTATCCGTTTTCTGTAGTTGAATAGAGAATTAAAGAGGCCATTGACTAGTATCTTTGTCAGAATTATTTTCTCTATCAGTATTAAACAGTTTTTGTCTTTCCACTAAAATGGGGTACAAGGAGGGGGCTTTGAGTTAGTAGTAGTAATCTAGTTGATCTGGGGTTAAAAATTTGTTGATGTGTGTGCTTGGATAATTGTTACCTCTCTGTAAAGGAACGAGATGCCAGCCTCTGTTGAATGTGGGGAAAGTGGATGTTCTTTACTCAAGGACACGTGTTCTTTTTCTCCTTTCAGCACTGAACCTGCCAGATGTATTTGGACTGGTAGTCCTTCCATTGGAGTTGAAACTACGGATCTTCCGGCTTCTGGACGTTTGTTCTGTCCTAGCTTTGTCTGCAGTTTGTCGTGACCTCTTTATTACATCAAATGACCAACTTTTGTGGAGGTGTTTATATCTGCGGGACTTTCGAGGTGATTTCCATGATGACATGTTAATAAGAAAGGGCTCTTTCTTACTGAGGTCTTAGTTCTTTATTATTCAGCTTGCCAGAGTTTTTACTTATATAGGTTTCTTTTTTTAGGGTAGCAAATAATCATAACATATAGCCTATAGTAAAGAGATTCTAAGCTTCATAAACCTTTCCTGAAAACTCTTCTCAAATAGCCACTTAGGCTGAGTAGACTGTCAGGATAGAAAAATGGAAATGAGACAGGTTCATTCTCTATCAACCATCCTCAGTGTCTGACTTAGAAATCCATTGCATTTCTAACTACTTCCGTGGTTGTGACCAGAGTACAAGTTGACAAGAGTCTTGCTCTGCTGTGGCAGGTGTGTTGCTGGGAAGCTGTATCTCTGCATTGTCACATTTATGGTGACCTGGTCCTCATTGCAGCAGGGATGACGGTGGGACTTGGGGCTGGGGAGAATTCTCCAAAATGTCACAGGTTTGCCAGATACAAGGCTGGAAGCCTGAGGGTGGAACTTCTCTCTGGTCACCACCATTTTATTAATATTATATATCAGTGTTTTCTTAAACTTTATTTTGACTCTGGGTAGGGGTCATTTTAAAAAAAGAAAGAAAAGTCAACAGCACTTTATAAAATATGAGTTAACTTCTATTTTAGTTATATATGTAAATGTAAAAAAATCTTAACACATGTTACAGTGTAAAATAAAAAAGTTTGAATGATGGTGCTATAAATGATAATGTACCACTCTAATAAACATGTATGGGTAAGTTCCCCTGCTTCCTTTTTTTTTTTTTTTTTTTTTTTTTAGATTAAAAGCATTATGTAGAGTCATTTGGATTGTCAAAAAGTTTTTTTCTTTAAAATTGTGGAAAGTGCAAATGACATGGTTTTTCCTTCTTGATTCCTGAGGACCTCATTCTTTATTTCTGCTCCTGAATCCAAAATTTAAAATGTTATTTGTCCCTAAAGGCAGGAAATGTCATCTCAGAAATCTAAAAAATTATAGTCAAAATGAAAAGACAAAATGGCAACATATATGAAAGATCCAACCCAAGAAAAGCAGGCTATGATAAAAATATCCATGAAAGGAACAGATACTTTTTACTTATATATTTGAGTTCAGGTTTAAAATACAACCAGTCTCTACCTCATTTCCAGATTGTGGTCCACAAGCTCGTTTGTAAGCTGAGCGGTCATATTTTTTTCATGAATTTCCCTATTAAATACAATGTTATAGGGCTGGAGCTTTTATAACTTTTTCTTCCATGCCAATGTAATAACTTCTAGAGAAGACATCACTGTCTTTTATCCAAACTCTTCACTAGGAGTTATTTTCCTCATTTCACAGATTTTAAGAAAGTACATTGAAAAATTACTTAGTTGTCATATTTCTTTTCTTTCTTTCTTTTTAAAAAAATATATTTTATTGATTTTTTTACAGCGAGGAAAGTAGAGGGATAGAGAGTTAGAAACATCAATGAGAGAGAATCATCGATCAGCTGCCTCTTGCACACCCCCTACTGGGGATGTGCCCGCAACCAAGGTACATGCCCTTGACTGGAATTGAACCCGGGACCTTTCAGTCTGCAGGCTGACGCTCTATCCACTGAGCCAAACTGGTTTCAGCTGTTGTTATATTTCTGAGAGCTGACTCATTCAGGACATGTTTGGGAGAAGACCTAACCCAATTATGGAAGTAAACCATATCTGGTTGACCTCCGGCAATGACCATGAGCTGTAATACAGGCGCTCAGAGGTTGTCATGTGGTTTAGTGTGACGTGAGACTTGGGGTCAGAAGCAGCTGACGCACTAGATGGAGTTGGGGGAGACGGTGTAGTGTGGGACAGTCAGCACAGGAGAGACCAGCCGTGTAGCCCTCTGCATCCTGAGGGAGTCACTACATTGAGCCACGTAGCACAGACCAGTGCAGGCTGCCCTCAGCCATCCAGAGGGGATCTGAGTGAGGTTCAAGAAAGTGTAAATGGTATTGTGTGTGTTAAACCAGCGAGTCACGTTCCTTTTTCTGCTTAATGAGGATGCTTCCATTTCCTTAGGACAGAAGCAAACTTGCTGTTTCATGCTGGGTGGATAAAGCATTTTAAACCCTTTTTGTTTTTCCTTTGTAGATGGTACAGTTAGAGCTCCAGACACAGATTGGAAAGAAGTAAGTGTTTGTAAATATCAAAGGCTAATGCTCACAACACAGAAATAACTAGTGGATTAGTATATTATGGGCAGTTTTCACTTTTTTATGATGTAATCTGTTTTCATTAAGTTTTCAACTTTTACTTTAAACTCAGTACCTGTTTTCTTGTAATTACACAGGAAGTAAATCTTAACACAATGATTATTTTTTACCTTTACTTAATAAAACTTTCTCCCTTCTGTTACAAAGAAGATTTTTTAGGTGAGCTGCTTTGTGCTGGAATAGTGTTGAGCTGTTCAGCTAGTTAGAATAGTGCATTAAGAAAAGAAAAATGATGTTATTTACTGATGTCTACTATAAAAGACCTTGCTAGAATTGAGAAAAACTTGGAAGGACTAGAGAAGAATAAAATTCAATGAAAGTTATTCAGATATGTACAAAATATGTTCCATCCTCTAAAATGGGCATCTGTTTTATGTCCTTGTTTAAACTGAGGTCTATTAGGGACACAATTTAAGTGAAAAATAGAATTTAGGTGGTGTCCTCTCACCCCCCAACACCTTTATATTTTATGGCATGATATTTTCAACCAATATTTAACTTTGCTGCCTTTAAAAAAGGCTGACTTAAAATTGCATGTTAGCTTAAGCACTCTGGGTTGCAGTCTTGAAAGTACATGCCACTTAGTTCTCCTCTGGGTTTATTGTTGCTCCAGGTTGGCACAGTTGCTCGGTTGCAGTGTGGTTAAAGACTAAGGCTCATCGGTATTGTATTCAGAGCCACTGCCTTATTCCCTTACAAGGAAATGGTGAAAGTTCGTTTCTGTGCACTGGTTTCTTGGTCTGCTGCGATAGTGTGGGAAGAGGAAGGGACAGATTTGTACACTGAGAGCAAGTTGGAACTCTGGGGAGACATCCCAACCACTTACCGGATCCTGTTCTTGTTTTCCATCAGTTGTACAAGAAGAAGCACAAAGAAAGAAAAGAAGCTCAGAAGGTTCGGCATTTGATGTTCCTGCCACCGTCGTCACCCCACCCCAACCCCTTCTATCCCAACCCCTTCCACCCCGGGCCTTTCCCTCCCAGCTCACTCCTTCCTCCAGGGATTATCGGTGGTGAATATGATGAAAGACTAACACTTCCCTATGTTGGGAACCCAATCAATTCACTCATCCCTGGGCCTGCGGCGGCCCCCGGCCCGTTCCCTCCACTCAGACCACGTTTTGATCCAATCGGCCCACTTCCAGGACCTAACCCCATCCTGCCAGGGCGAGGTGGCCCCAATGACAGGTTTCCCTTCAGACCCAGCAGGGGTCGGCCAACTGATAGCCGGCTACCATTCATGTGATGGACTTGCAACCCACTCTGGAGCTTGTTTGGTTTGGTTCCTTAAAACTACAGCTATCATCTTGTTGGGTTGTTGACCTCTAGTGTTTTCCGATTGTGGCTGTGAGGAATGTACTCACACAAGCCTTTCAGTAGATGTATTTAAAGCTCCAGGGGTGGTGTGGCCCAAAGGTTACTTCACGACAAGGTTGGCCTTGGGAATAGTTGGCTACTGACTTCCCTCTGAACTCCCCTCTAGAATGAAGGTTGTTCATCGATGATGTTCTGTACCAGATTTTTAAAAATTAACTATAAATTGCATGGCAGTCTCGACTTTTATTACAGAAAGATACGTAATAAATATTCAGAACAGCTTTACAACATTACTTGGACATTTAAAAATGATCAGAGAACCTATTCAGGGTCATCAGGTTGTTGCAGAGGATTTTAAACAATTTTTCGAATGAAATAATTTGCAGAAGCTGATTTATAAAACGACTAAAGCAGAGCTAGTTTGGTTGAACTGGATTTTGGACACCCACCAGCTCAATCCACCTCCTCCCTGGCCCTGAAGCTCTTGCTCGGAGTGTGGGGTGAACTGGGCTGTGCAGCAGCACTGTGGGCGGCCATGGGATTATAGGGACTCGGAGTGTGGGGTGAACTTCTGGGCTCTGCGGCAGCACTGTGGGCGGCCATAGGGTTATTGGGACTCTTGTTTTGTTAGGGGCTTCTTCGGGAGTGGAATTATGATTTTTTCCTCTTGTGTTTTGAACACGTGGTGCCTAACTAGATGACCTCTTTTTACCACAAAGTGTTACTGCTTTGAATGCTGGTCAGGTACTTGTTTTTCAAAGATAGACTCTTATTTGAAGAACATTTATTTTTTTAAGAGTTAAAATACACAAAATTCAAGGTTTTTTCCTACAAGAAAAAGGCCAAACAGAAATGTCTTACCATACAATCAACTGTGAAACATGCTATAGTGACAAAATATGAATCACAACACAGGAACTGAACAGTACTACAGAAAGTATTACTAGTATCTACAGAAAGTATTTTGGAATATTGCCAACAGTCTTCCTGATTTTAAAAATCTGTTTTGCATATAAGGAAATGGTTTGAAGTGTTATGTGCTGCAAGAATACTTTGAGTCCTACATACATGTGAAAATATTTTATGTTTTGCTACACATAATAGTGCCTTTTTTTTTTTCATCACAGTGAAGAACATTCAGTCACTAATGCAATTATCCAGAGCTTAATGTGTAGGCAAAGGATTGGGCTGTTGACATTTCCATGATATTGACCAATGGTAGCTCTAGGACAAGCTTTTTAAAAGTGTCAACTGGATGCCATATGGCTTTAATTGGATCTGGGTTAAAAGAGTCACCTTGAAGCATTGATGGGTCCAAATATACCCTCGTTCTCCTCTCTGTGCCCTTGTGATGTCAGGTTGCATGTGGCGTGTATGTGTGTAGCAGGTGTAGGAGGACATAGTGAAGCACCAGATACTACAAAACAATGAGTTCTCCAGATCCAGAGTTTTTGAATGGTCCTTGAGAGGCCTGTGCCAGTGCCCATGTCCCACAGAGATGGTGCTGCTTTCCAGCCTCACCTGGCCTCGCTGGCCCGAGGTACAGCCTGTCTCAGTTTAGGTATGGGCAGTGCGCCATATGCCTAAATCGGCAGTCCTCTCACAATAGTTTATTCTTAAAACAACTCTCAAAGCTTTTCCTCTTGAATAGCTAAACTTATAGTTAGAAGCTTGTAAAATCTATGTTCTTTTCATTAGCCTGGGCTGTTGAGCTTTATATATTGCTGGTGTGTAATGAGAAGGAAATCACGGTTTGGCGGTAGCCCAGTCCCTGTTTTCTGACATCACTTTGATATAGTGTAATGGAAACAAGACAGTGTAGAGTGCTGTGGTTACACGTTTTAGTAAATGCTGTTCTATATCATTGGCTTGTGGTCTTACGACTTTCCGTGACCCCTTATTTTCCCCTTTAGTTATTTTTAACAGGAGCTTGCTCCCTCCCCCCCCCCCCCTTCTTTGCTCACAGATGGAAGATAACGGTTTGGCATGACTGGAAATCGATCATGGGATATATCCTCTCTTTCCAGCTTAAGATTTTATAATTCCTTAAGGAAAACAGTTGAGTTCTGCCCTCTTACTCTTGCCTCTAATTCCTGAGATCACCGCTTAGCCTGATATCTCTCATTCTTATTCTGGACACAGAGCAGGACACTTCCCTTTGCTCCCTACACTCAGGGCCCAGTGTCAAGGTTTGCCTTCCTCCTGCCCTGGGCAGTAGCTCCTCAACCACAGAGTCCCGGGAGGCACTGGCAGGGCCCACTTCTCTGCTGGGCATAAGCATGGTTCATGCTCCTTCACGGTCTCCAGCTGACTAGGTGTGGAAAGGATACGATTACTGGGCAGTACTAGGTAAGTTCACCTGAAATAAAGATTTAATCTTAATGTCTCCTGGAATTTCCCAATAGGTCCCGGCACTTAAATTTCTGCTGTTCCACAGTGAAATAATGAGAGGCAAGACAGCGTTAACTTTCTTCTCTAGACTCTGAAAGACCATGAAGAGTAGATACATAAAATATGAAAATTTTGGAAATTGAAATTAAAACTGGGAGGGCCAATCAATAAAATTGGAGGGTATTTAAGATTGTAAAGGATGGACACATTGTAGGAGGGGCGTTCAGTTGTGGATTGGTTTCCCTTAAGGAATGCCTCACTATTTCCAGCCAAGTCCATCTCTTCTTGGCCTGCTGCTTGAGAGCCCTGGGCACAGGACTAGTGCCGAGATGTCATCAGCGTGGCTGCGTGTTTGCCTGGAAACAAAGCTGCTATGCCTGCGTGCATGCATTCTGTTGGATTGATGAACCGATTTGACTTGCTTATTGCCTAATCTTCTTCCACTTGGTCTCTGACCAAACCCACAAGTGCCGCCTTCTCTGAGAACCTAAATATTAGTGAACCCTGAATTGAATCAGTGGCTGCTTAGGAGTCAAAGATAGCTTTGACACTTGCTAGGACAGTTAACCAGCCAGCCTGCACGCCAGGATAAAACATTTGGAACGTGTGGTAGTGCTCCTAGGCCATGGGCTCTTCCCCCAGTAGAAATCCTGGCATTATCTGCAATGCCGATTTAACCAGCTCAAACTCTCAAACAGAACGAGCTACCTACCACCTGCTTTGGGAGCTCCGCTGCCCCAGCGCAGGGAAGGGCAGGGCTCCAAAAGCACTGCCTGCGGGAGGCGCCAGGGGGCGCTGCTGTGGAAAGCTCTGTCCTGCTGTGGGCCTCTGCACAGGGTGTGGTCAGAATGGGAGTCCAGGTCCTGGGTCCTCTCTGCAAACTGGTGTTGTCCTGGTCTGCTCACCCCAGTCTCTTCTGACTGATGCTGACAGCGGCACCTCATTCTCACCTCATGGGGCTGTGCTCACCAGGGGTTGGCCTTGTGGGTCCTGAGCCTGCTTGTTCCCATTCCTTTTCAGACTCAGTTTAGATTCTGCAACCTCTTCCTGAGGGTAAAACACTGCCATAGATTTTCTCTAGCTTATCTCAGTTTACTAATCGCTCTGTTGGTTGGATTCTGTTCCTGGGCAAATGACTTCCTCACATTGATACACTTAGAAATGAGACTTTTTCTTCAGCCTTAACATTTTTTTTTTTTTTTTTTACATTTTATTAATTCCAACCTGAACATGTCCTGACCACCTACTGTGTCAAGCAGCGCTCTGTGTTTTATTCACTAGTCGTTCACGAGGTACCTACACTAGCTTGCTTTCTCCTTGCATTACCTTTCGTAGTAAATTCAAATGAGAACTGCCAGCAGGTGGTTATGTCTGGGCTCTTAGGGTTTGCTATTGTATTTGTTACCGAGTGTGAAGGCCTGTCACCCTGAAATGTTGGAGAGGTAGAACTAAGTGCCCCTGAGCAGGAACGGAAGGTTGGAGTGAATGTTGTAAGACAGGGGATTAATGGAGGAGAAACGGTGGACAGTCTATGTCTGTGGAAAGCTGAGTTGGCATTTAATTAAACAGCAGGACTGTTTTCGCACACTGTGAGGACAGTCTGGAAGAGGGTGTTTTGTCTGGCTGGTGGAGCGGTCTGTGGAGGCTGTGTTTAAATCCCTGCTCCTTGTGCTATACTTTATCACACACAACACACATGCATCTGGCATGTTTCAGCATCACCAAGTCAGCCTGGAGGGGGAATGTGAGTCTTTTTTTGGATCTAAATGGTGAAACAAAGCCAGCCGACCAACAAATGACCTTTTAGAATTGCCCCCGTGACTCCCCTCACCCCTGCTTTCCCCATTTAAAAAAATTCAGTCAGTTATTGAAGTTAGAAGTGAGAGAACAGCCCATTTGGGGGGCTCTCTGGTCTCCACAAGACCCTTGTTGAGCTCGACTTTCATACACAGACCAGCGGGAAACTTAGGTGTTGGTTATAAACTAGTGTTGTGTCATGGATCATCTGTGCATGGCTGTATGTCAGAATGCTACTCGTACTATCTGGGAGATAGAATTTGAACGTTGAGATGTTTTTATGGACAAGGGACAGAATAAAGGAAAATGGGGAAATTAAGCCATATAGTCATTGTTTATGAAGCCACTAATTTTGCTCACCGAGAGTGGAATGAATGAATTCCACACAATACAGCTTCCTATAACAGCTTTCCCAGACGCCTCAGCTCAGGATGCCAGTCTAACTCCCACAGGCATGCAGGGAGAGGACAAAGAGAAGTTTGGGTCTCATGACCAGAAATCCTGGCTCGCTGGTCTGAGATGAAGCTAGCTGTGCACACAGCCATGGCCCACACTTGGAGAAACAAACCTAGTGTCCCTTTGCTGTGTGTTTCAAGCTGTATTTTATTACTGAGAAGCGGGTGAGATTGTTTGACTCCTTTCAATCTTAATCTCTGTACAAGCGTGATGATTGCCTCAGGTATTTTCTGTTTTTAAACTAAAATGGTGGGCTTTTCGGTGTTACACCTGCCCTCAAGTTTCCCCTCACTCTTTCATGCAGAATGCAGGTCTAGGCCACGGACACTTTCATTTTTACCTCCTCTGTCCCTTCCCTGTGAACAGTGAGGGGAAGACAGGTTTCAAGTCACAAAGGGGACTGGGAAGGATCACATGGCTCTGTTCTGGCCTGGGAGGTTGGCTCTGACACCTACAGTGTTTCTAGCACCAGGTGCTTGTGTTGTGGGACAGCCCTGCTCCGTGGTCCCTGGAGGCCGTGTGCTCTGCGGGAAGGAGCCTGAGAAGGGCGTCAGGGCCGTGTTCTCCAGATCTGCAGTCAGCTTGTCCAAACAGGTTTGGGTTAAACACAGCTAAACCTAATGTCTTCACATAGGAATTCCAAGTTGTTGACATGTCAGATGTATGACCAACCTCAAAAAGAGCAATAGAGACAGTGTTTCCCCAACATGTTTGGCCATGGGACCCTTTTGTAATGGAGTAGCCTGCCAGCATCTTGCTGTGCAGTTTGTGAAATGCCAACAAGAGGTTACTATCCTCCCAACTTTCTGAGCCTGTGATGTTAACCTGATTCTCTCTGGTTCCTCAGAAGTCCTTGAGGAGTAAACAACAATCCTGGAGTGAATTCAGAGAAAATTCCTGGCGGTACACAAGTAATAGTGGGTGGGGAAGCCCTAAGCTAACTCCTCAGGAAGCTGAGGGCAATGGCCTCTGGGAACCAGAAACTCTTCCTGAAAGGACCTGTGGGCTGCTCTTGGCTGTCCATTCTGCTGGGAGCAGCATCCCCACTGTCTCCTGCCAGCCCCACGTGACTCACAGGACCTGGTTTCTTCCCCTTGTCATCAAGATCCCACCAGGGCCTGGCCAGTTGTGATGTGCCCTTGCCTGCAAGTCAGGTGAGGTCTCCAGATGAAACTAGCATGGTAGATGAGAGGTTCCGCTGGCCCGGCTTGTCTCCTTTTGTTTGCAAAACACTGTCAATAGATTATTGCCTCCTGTACTGCTGAGGTCCTACTGCAGTGTCTTCATTTGATGGAGGTGGGCAAGGCCTAGAGGGGGCTTTTGCCCAAAGGCAAGCAAAAAACACTAACGAGATGTGAAAAACTAGCCACGCACAGACATCTCACTTGGGTATCTGTGGCAGGGAAGCAAGCATCCAGGGCGGGGGGTGGAGGGGAGGGGGTGAGGGAGACAGGTGATGGACGCCCACCATTAAGGCCCATTTTGAGGAACCTGGAGGCTCTCAAAGGCCCAGTCTCAGCTGGACAAAGCTGGAATGTCATGGAGAAGGGAAGGGGACACGTATAGATACTCAGTTCCTGGGTCAGAGGCATTAGAAAGTATGTTCTCAGGCCCTCCATTCTGTTCCCCTCAGAAACCAAGGCTGAGAAGGAAGATGAGGTGGGAGAGGGAGAGTGTAACAGCACCCCCTCCCAGGCTGGACCCCGTTAGTCAGAGAACAGGCTGGCAAAAGACTTCCTCAGGTTGCGGATGGTTTCGGCCTTGGCCTCATCTTCGCTTGGAGTTCCACGCTGGGAAGTGTCCGATGTGCTGAGGCTATTAGTCAAGGACTGGGATTTGCTGAAACAAAGGCAAGGGAGTTTGGGGTGACCAGGCATAGGCTCCTGTGATTGCCTAGGGCCTAGGCAATCATCACACTTATACATCCCATGGCGGGGGGGGGGGGGGGGGGGGAGGGGGGATTGTCTGGAAGCCAGGTGGGTGAGCCCATTATCACAAAAATATTAAGACCTAGCCTCAGTTTTTAGGTACAGAAGTTGGGGCTCACAGCCAGTGACCACAGCACCGGAGGCTCACTCTGCCCACCAGCCCAGGCTGCTCAGACAGCAGGCGTCACCAGACAGTTTCACTGCTCTCCACCTGTGTGCAAACCCATCTGGCAAACTTTAAAGTGTTGTCTCCACCAGGCTGTGGATGCTCCTCTATACTTCCCAGCACTTTGGGAATTGGGAGGCCTGTGTCTCTGGGATTCCATTCCCATCTCATCCCTGAAGCCCTTACTGATTCCAGCCCCCTTTGAAGCCCTTACTGATTCCAGCCCCCTTTGAAGCCCTTACTGATTCCAGCCTCCTGTTGGAGCTTGTGAGAATTAAAAACAAAACACCCAACCAGGTAAAATGCTCGGCACATACTAAGTAGGTAGTTGATACTAGTGTCAAACTATGATAATATTAGTGTTTGGAGTTGAAGGGAACCACTTTCCAAAAGACCCCCACATTTGGAGTCTCTTTCTGACCTCAAACCAAGAGATGGGCTTGAGAGGGAATGCACAGTGTACTGTGATGGAGAAATGACAGCATAGATTCTTATCCCTGCTACCCATCCTTCTGCCCTGTGACTTGTAGGTCTTCCCATCAAGAGCCTGCTTTGCTGCCTCTGAGTCCAGGCTTGGCCATGCAACTGGCCTTGACCAACAGCAGGGGGTGGAATGAAAAGGCACAGTGAAGCTTCTAAGATTGCATCTCAAGAGGCCTTGAGCTTCTTGTGCCCTTTTGGATTGTAATTCTACCATGTGAGGAAGCTCGGCCCGACTGCTGGAGGCCCAGCTGGCAGCCAGCGCCAACCAGCAGGTGCCAGATGTGTGCATGAGGCCCCGGTGACTGTCCAGCCCTGGTGACGCTGTCAGATGCATGCAGCATTATGAGTGATCCCAAGGGCTAAAGTTGCTAGATTTAGTAAACAAAAACATAGGCTTAAATCTGAATTTCAGATGAAAAATACTTTTTTAGTATAGATACATCCCATGCAATATGTGAGGGCATACATATACTCAAGATTACTCATGGTTTATCTGAAATTCAAATCTAACTGCGCATCCTGTATTTTATCTGGCAACTCTCCAGGAGGCACCTGCAGAAGAACCTCCCAGCTGAGCCAAACTCCGAACAAACTGCTGAACTGAGAAATTATGAATCAAGAAATGGTTTTACCTTAAGCCTCTAAGTTTTGGGGTGGCTTGTTATGCAGCATGAAGGAACAGATACGTGTATATATCTGAAGGGTCAATGGTAGGGCCTAATGTATTCCCTCACCTTGCAGGGCCCTTCCTGCCCCTCACGTTCCATCCTCTAGGCCTCCTCCTTCTCATTTCAAGTCTGGGTGAGGCCTCCTGTGTCTTCCTTTGTCTGAGTCCCTCCCACACCACAACCCCTCCCCACCAATACCCTTCCAGATCAGAGGTACTTACTTGAGATGGGGGTGGGGTGGGGCTGGCTTTCTGGACTCTTCGCCCTGTTGGGAGGTGCTGCGGCCTTGCACAGGGGGGCGGGGCTGTGAAGGGAGGGTGGCGCCTGGCTTGGAGGCCTGGTTGGGAGAGCCGCTGCTGGATGCCCGGGGCAGCTGTGGAGAACCCGGTGATCTCTGCTGCTGTGGGGATCCCGACTGGGGGCTCAGGGGCTGCTGGCCTTGTGGGGAGAGCCTCTGCTGGGAGGGGCTTCCAGATCTGGAGGGCTGAGGAGACTGAGCTTGGCGAGGGCCCCCTACAGGGTACAAAAGTTATTGCATTCAAATTTTTCTTAGGATAACATGGCTGTGCACAAATGCTGCTTCAAGGATGGGCATTTCAAGCTGTTGTTGTTTTTAATAACAGTAAAAAGTGGAAAACAACATAAATGCCTAGCTGATTAGGAACAGACATCTATATAATGGAATATTCTCTGGTCATAATATATGACCAGAGAATATTCCATTAAGAGACATTATATAATGGAATATTCTCTGGTCATAATATATGATGTTACAGAATAATATGACATTAAATGGGATACTGTTGATACATGCTAAATAAATACTGTTAAGCTGAACAAGCAGCTGATTACACATTACATTCAGTTTTATTCAATTTTGGTATATATATAAAGCTATGTAAAAAAGAAAGATGGGAAGGTTAAACACTAAAACCAGTGCGACTCAGTGTGTGTATGAATTACTGGAGGGATCTTGTCAAAATAAAGATTCTGATACAGTAGGTCAGACTGACACTGAACTGTGTCCTCTCCAAACTCGATGTGACTGTTTTTGGAGATAGGGACTTCAAAGGAGGTAATTATTGTTAAATGAGGCCATAAGGGTGGGGCCCTAACCCAACAGGATTGGTGTCCTCCTAAGAAGAGACACACAGGAAGGGCCATGTAAAGACACAGTGAGAAGGCCGCTGTCTCCAAGCCGTGGAGAGAAGTTTCAACCCTGTGGGCACCCTGGCCTTGGTCTTCAGCCTTCAGCTGTGAGGAAATACGGTCTGCTGTTAAAGCCACTTAGTCTCGGGTATGCAGACTCTGTTATGGCAGCCGAGCTGACTGAGCAGGCGGGGTCTGTGATTACAAACGTGCTGGGGTTGTGGAGGAGTTTAATTCTCTTTCTTTGCTCACCGATATTTCCCACACTGAAGATGGATTACTTTGGAAACAATGAAAATAATTATCCCTTACTTTTGAACCGCTCTCTCCACTTTTCCAAGGACTTTCAAAAGCAATGTATCATTTGCTCTAGGGAGGCTGCAGTTATTATTTTTATTATTATTTTTTAACAGAACAAGTCTTTTCATTACTCAAAAAAGGTTGTTAAAATTTAGTTGAGTCTGTGCTTGTGCCTTTAACACTTGGATGATTTTCTGCTTCCCGCTAAGGAAAGCATGCCTGCCCCGCTCCCCTGTCCCCTGTTGGGGACACACTTAGCACATGGGTCCACGGTAGGCCAGGCTGACATGTTTTTCACGTTAGACAAATTCAACCACAAGTTTACATCTTACAGCACAAACTTCCTGGAGTTGTCTGGGCACAGACAACTATGCAGACGGCTATTTCCCAACCTTTTCGGTACGCAGGTGAACAATTCTGTTACCGGGGGCATGGGCATCTAATTTTATCAGAGGCTGTATGCAGCACAGCCTCTGACAGAATGTGGACACTGGACCATTGTGAATGCCTGCAGCTGCCATCCCATTCTCACCCCATCCAGGTGGAAACCGAGCCTCATTAGGTGTCATATCTGGAGGAGTAGCCACAGAGCTCACAGGGAATCCTGACTTCTCCCTGTCACCCTGTCACTGTACAGAGCATACAGTCACCTACAAACTGGGGGACATCCCAGGCCAGCGAGCTGCACTCTCCTCACCTCTAGTCCGAGCGTCCGGGCCACTGTGTGTCCTGGCTGCCTGCTGCTCCTCTGCCAGGCTCCGCCTGCTCTGGGAGAGGGCTGCCCCGTGGTGATGCTCACCATGCTTTGTGAGGGCAGGAGCAGAGAGTTAAAAGGGCCCGCAGCCCATCTCTGTGGCCCTTTCAAAACATGGCTTCCACTTGGCCATCGTGTCTCTGGCCGTGGGCATCCGCACAACAGCTCTGAGGGGTAGGCATTATTATTTTTTGCGGCTGCACACTCTAGTGCCCTGACTGGGACTCAACCTGGGACCTTTCAGTGCATGAGATGACACTCAACCCATCAAGCCACATCAGCCAGGGCACGTTAGGTATTATTAACATCCCCGTTTTTACAAAGAAACTGAGTCCCAGATATACTTACTTGCTTAAGGTAGCACAGGAAAGGGAAGAGCCAAGATTCAAACCTGGATATTTTTGACTCAGAAGTCCTGTTTTGCATCCTCCTCTCCTCCCTTCCTCTTTCTTCTTTTATTGTTGTTTTTGCTTACACCACCCAGGGTGCCTGGAGTCCTCACATCTCTGTGCAGATTGAGAAAAGGTGGCCGCCTCCAGTGGAGGCAGCTCTAGCCCGGTGCATGGGAAGCAAAGGCTAGATTTCGGCTGACCTCCCTCTCGGATGTCATCTCAGCTGGTCACCTTTGCAGAGGGCGAGGCCTGCATGGCTGGTGGCTCTCACATCATACTGGCCTCAGGGCCCCAGGTCCTGAGTCAAGCCTTGCCACGAACTGCCTATGTGACTGTGTAAGCCACATCTCCCTGGGTGTCGGAGCCCTCGTTTGTAAAATGAGGTCACTGACTCGCCACCAAACTTCCCTCTCAAATGGAACTCTTTTGTGAATCTGCACAACACTTCCAAGTTGGATGGAATGGCAGCCACAATCTAGCAACGGGTCTCACATGGCTCTGACCTCGTTCACCACTCTATGTCCCAGCAGACTGGAAGACCCATTGATCTCAAAACTCAAAACACCTTCAGGGCCGGGCAGGTACATAAACAGAGCAGGCGAGCATCAGAAAAATCATGTGGCTTTAATTTTTTTTTTTTTCCACTTTAGGTAGAAACATCGTTCAGAGACATAGTTCTCCAAAGAGGAGCAGTGACAACAGGGAGGAGGAGGACTGGAGGCTCATGGTGAGCCCCTGCCCTGCCCAGGGAGTAGCGCCCTGCCCAGGGAGTAGCTGTG